TTTTAGAGTAAATTTTTTTTCAGCGAATGTAATTATGTTCGACCTTACTTCACCAGCAATGTTACGTGTCATAAGTTTTTTAACTGTGTTCATTATTATTTAAAAAATATGACTATAATGCGTTTTTAGTGTTCTCTAAAGTTTAGCAATACGTAGTTCTCTTCTTTTGTGAGTTACGCTAGTTTTACCATGTTTATTGTCGTTTTGAGGCAATATGTCTGGTTTACATCAAAAACTGGGTTACATCGTGGCTTTTGGAGCCAATTAATGATGTAGGGCAGGGTATGACTGTAATTAATAATAGTAAAATTATTTTATTTTTAACACACTGGCCGTCTCCCATTGAGGCAGGGTGAACCGAAAAATAAGAAGCGAGAGGTTTCCCTTCTTTTTACATTTAGTAATTTACACAGGAGAGGGCGTTACTAGCCTTTTGTTCCCGGCATTTTAGTTACCTCTTATGAAATACATGGTTTATGGAGGAAGAATTCTTCTCCACTTCCCCATTGAGATGATGATAATAATATATTTTGTACTTTTGTAATGCATCTGAGAAAAATTACTGTAATGTGTTATAATTGCAGTGGAACCCTGAGTTTTGTACAGCTCCCAACTCGAACAATTATGTAAATATATTATTGTGAGTGCTTTTGTAAGTGTATTTTTGGGGGTCTGAAACAGACTAATCAAATTTATATTATTCCTTATGGGAACAAATTTTGTTCGGTAACGGCACTCGAACAGCATTCTGGAACAAATTATTGCGAAACTCGGGGTACCAAGGTATTACTACTTTACTACATTACAGTTATAATACTTTATCACATTTTTGCAGGTGGAGACAGTGGATGTTTCAACACAAGAAAGTAACAAGAAGAAAAATGCTCTCTCAGTGCTAGCTCTCAAAACAGCAGCTCTCTTGAACTGGAACTTAGAAATCTTTGAGCAAAAGTATGTGTACTGTCATTAAATGTCTAATTAACAGTGCTGAGACTGTTTTACTTGAGTGAGAAGTCCTTAACTTGGAGTACATTATGTATGACTAAATTTTTTTTTTTTTTGACCATAACAACCATCTGCCATTTATAGTATATGGATAAATGTTAAGTGGATTACAGGTTTTTGTCACAGTTGTATAATTGGAAAGGATAGGGACCTAAATCCTTATGCTAGTTAAGATGAAACATCATTTGGCATTAACCTTGCTCCCAAAAATCCTTCAGTCTAAGAATTATAGCTAATGCTGTTGATCTTTACCCCTTTCAGGTCAGCAGGGCCCTCTCCCTAAACTTTTCTCAGGTCGGAAATTTTCCCCAGAAAAAAAAATTAGTTTTTCTCATGAAACATAGAGAATCTTTTCCCCGATCATAAAAATGAAATTTGATGGGAAAGACTTACGAATTATTGCTCTTGCGAAGTTAGCAGTCTCGCCCATTTTACGTATCCGGTGATTCGCCCCACTTTGAGCCTTATTTTTTAACCAATTCCATGCAAAAATCAATAACTATTTTTCGCTAGAACTTCCATGTTTTTTCTATCGATGAGTACAAGAAACCACTCATTTACAGATTTTCAAGCTATCCAATAAAGTGTCAGAAATTGCAATTATGCCATTTTCACACAAATTTCCAAAAGATGTCAATTCTCCAAATAGTGTCTGCAGAATAAACAAGACGAACATCCTGGCACTCAAAATAACATTTCCGTCTCTTCATTAGTCCAACGTCCCCAGGTCTCTGTTACTTTCATTTGCTTTCCACTTTGAATTTTTTTTCTCACATAAAATAGAGATTTAGCTGTTTTAGCAGACTACTGCATAGTGTAGAAATGGTGCAGAAATAAATCGTATATATATCAGTATCACTTGTGAAAGAATATAGACCTCACCAGTTAACGTTTTCTGGACGTAGGCATGAGATTGTTTACTTTTGAACTTTTGGGCAAAAATCGAACATTTCCATGGCTACATGAGCTCAATTTCACAAGTACTTGTCCTTGTGAAGCCGTCCAAAATCATCTCCATTTCTGTAATATGTCATCCTTTTATAAAATGAGACCAGGAAAATAGAAACAAAAACCAAAAATTAGCATACAAAAATACACTGCAAAGTTTGCGTTTAAACCAAAACACGGTCGGATTTTTTCTTTTCTCATTATGTCACTGTGCTGCAGGATTTTTTTTTATACTGCACACACTGACCACTAACCCCTGGTCTTTCATATTATAGGCCTACCAGCTTTCTCTCATAGATTTGAAGGCTCTAGAATTGATGCGTACTAGTACGGCACCATCCCTGGCCGGCAAGCCGTACTAGTACGGCACACCGAGAAGGGTTAAAAAAAATGCACATTAAATTCTTTTATAGTGCATAAATATTGATATATGATAAATGCTTTTGTATATGATCATATCATCGTCTTGCAATTGTTACACATTTTCAGATGCCACTGCATATGCAAGAATGCACTCCTTATTGCACTTCTTCATGAAACTCTGGAGGAGCTGAGCAGTCCAACAACACACGGGACCTTTGGACACTGGACCCTTGCTGCCTTACCAACTGTTCAAGTGTTGCTTTGTATCATCGCTGGCTCTTAGAGCACTTGTCCAGGCTATGTTGCCAGCCAAGCCTTTCAAGGTCCTCCAATGTTCCAATGTAAGGAAAACTTCTTCAGTTTAATAATGCTCATAAATTTTGTGATAGACATATTGTATTTCATTTTCAAGTAGACACAGTGGCTCTCCCGTATACAATATTAATCTTTCCTGTGAGCTCATCGAATACATAAAAATCGAAAAGCGATCAGTTTTTTCCCATAAGAAATATTGGAAATCTAATTAATCCGTGCAAACACCCAACAGTATGAAAAAAAATAACAAAATTTTTAACCACATAAATATTAATTTTAATCACACAAACTGAAGAAGACATGCACAGTTACTGACACTTACTTTATTGACGATCCTGGTGATAGATTGATGGGATGGGGAGGTAGGGGACGACAGTGTGGATGTGTTAGTGTTTAGAAGGGAATCCCCTCCATTAGGACTTGAGTAGCAATCCTTTTCCGGGTTACTTCCCTTCTTCTTTTAATCCCACTAGGACCAGCTTGAGAGTCCACTGGACCTCGTCCCGCACAACAAATCTGTCCATAGAGCACTGTACCTCCCGTCCTTTACGTTTAGTCTAAAATGGGCCACAACATTGTCATTGTAATTAAAGTTTTTCACCAGCACGGCTTGCTGGAGCTGTGGTTAGGGTGATTTGTCCTCCATAAAGGTTGCAGTTTCAAACCCACTGTGCACACATTTCTTTAATTTTGAAAGTAGGCCACCTAATGGATTTCCACAACGGGCATAGGCTTCTCAGGTTAGCCCCAAACCCTTCAAATCTTTCTTAATTTCTGTACTAATCACCAACCCTTTTTACCACAGGGTTGGCACCTAGAAGCGTTCTTGGGCCCATGTACTTAACTTTTGCAGAAACCAGCACCAAAACCAGTGATAATATGAATTACCGAATGTATTCGTAGATGCCGCACATCTGGCGGGCTTGTAAACACTGGCGCACACAGGGCAGTTCAGGCCACACATGGACACGTCTCGTACAATCGTATCGAATACTGGGTTTTCAATCGATACCGAGGCAAAATTTTTGCGTTAAAAATGCATGCGATACCGGATTTTATCAAATACCGTTGCCATCGAATACCGGGGGTTCACACTGTAATTTTAATTTGACACTTTTTTTCCAGATTTGATACAAGTTTTCCGTGCCTTTGTGTTGCTTTATTGTGTATGATTTCCACACAGTATAACCAGTAATTTGCTGTAGCTAGTATAAATTTGCTTTTTTGTGACTACCCAAGACCATTACCTCTTGATTTTTTACTAGATCTCTTTAAATATTCTAAACATTAAAAGATTAAAAGGAAACAGATTTAGGTGTGTGAAAAAATAAGTCCAGCTTATTGTGAGCAAAATTCTAAGGTCAGGTTTCAGTTTTAAATTTCTTTTTTTTCTGAACTTTGGTCATCTCCCACTGAGGCAGGGTGACCCAGGAAGAAAGAAAATCCCCAAAATTAAAATACTTTCATCATCATTCAGCATTTTCACCTCACTCACACATAATCACTGTCTTTGCAGATACGACAGTTTAGAAATCCCTCCAAACTGCAAATACCCCAAACGCCCTCCTGTAAAGTGCAGGCATTGTCTTCCCACTTCCAGGACTCATAATATTAACCGTTTCCTTGAATCCCTACAGAATATTACCCTGCTCACACTCCAACAGCTCGTCAGGTCTCAAAAACCATTTGTCTCCATTCACTCCAGTCTTAGAGCTCATACATGCTTGCTGAAATCCAAGCCCCCCCCACAAAAACCTCCCTTTATTCCTCCCTCCAACCTTTTTTCGAGGACGACCACTTACCCCGCCTTCCTTTACCTATAGAGTTATATGCACTCCAAGTCATTCTGCTTTGATCTATCTCTCTAAATGACCAAAACCACCTGAACAACCCTTCTTTCAGCCCTCTGACTATTATTTTAGTATCTAACTCCACGCTACCTAATTTCCACACTCCAAATTCGCTCCTACCAACCCTATTGAAGTTATCTCATCATAACACCCCTTAACAAACAAGGCAGGAGACATAAACAACTTTGCCTGCTTATAGTACAAAATGCTTCTCACGTAAACCTACAAGGGAAATAACCTGCGTGAACTTAGTATGGCAAACAATGAATCCCTTGTTATTAATTTAGAATTTCAGGAGGAACTGGGTTGCTATCGAAGCGACCACAAATCAATACATTTAGCATTGAATGGGAAGTACATAGTAGCGATAACTCATAACAGTCCCAATTTTCGCTTAGCATATACGATGGCTTAGAGAACACTTTCATCTGATGACTGGGGTAACGAAAGGAGACTCTCAATATGACATTTTCTGAACACTATACATGCTGCTCAAAAGAGCGTTTATCCCCATATATAGAAAATAGATCAAATAGAAATGACCCAAAATGGATGAATAATAGGCTCAAATATCTACTAGGGCATAAGAAAGGAATTTATAGGGCGTATCCAAAGAGGTTGAGGTGTCATCTTATGAATCAGTATATTGAAATTAAGAGGGACAATTAAAAAGGGATAAGAAAAGCAAAAGGGACATATGAAATTATAGTTGGCTAGGGATCTAATACTAACCCTAACAAGTTTTTTCCAGTCTATAGAAAAAAAGTTAGAGATAAGATAGGTCCCCTTAAAAATAACTATGGGTCACCTTACTGACAATGAGAATGAAATGTGCTGATTTAAATAATTATTTTTCACTCCAGTTTTACACATGAATACACTAACAATATTCCAGTAATTAATTTTTACAGTGGGCTAGAAGACGATATATTATGTAACATCACAGTCACTAGTGAGATGGTTTGTGAGGGCAGATAGACAGACAGAAGCAAAATAATCCGCCGGGTCCTGCGAGGTTTTTTCAAGGGTTCTTAAGAATGCAAAATATGGAACTCTGTTGAACCATTAACTAATATTTTATTATCTCTTCAAACAGGTGAAGTGTCCCTGATATGTGGAAGATGGCTAATGTAGACCTCCTAATTTTAAAACATGGGACAAGTCGTTACCGTCAAATTACCGCGCCAATAAGCCTACCTCATTGTAGGGCAACATTAACTAGAGTCAATTATAGCTGAGATTATAAAAGCCATCTTGAATAAGCATAGCTTGATTAATGATACTCAGCCAGGATTCACAGAGGCCGGTTCTTGTCTAACAAATTTATATTAAACTGTCTTCAGTAAACTTTTGAGGCTGTGACCACAAAAAAGAATTTGATATTATTTACTTAGTTGATTAGTAAGATTTTGATAGAGTTTTCCGCACCATAGAACTGTTTAAAGAAAGTGGCAGCTCATGGCATTGGGGGAAAAGTGCTCTCGTGATCGAGTCATGGCTCACTGACAGGAGCAGAGAGTGTCCCATAAATGGGTTAAATCCCGAGTGGGATCTGTAACAAGTGGCGTTCCACAGGGATCATCTTGGTCCCGTTGTTGTTTATAATATAAATCAATGAACTTGAGATGGAATTACTAGTGATATGAGCAAATTCCGCCGATGACACAAAGATAGGTAGGATAATTGATCAAACGTAGATGTTCAGGGAACTCAGGAGGATTTAAACAAACTCTATTCTTCTTGTCAGAAAAGTGGCAGATGCAGTTCCCAATTAGATAAGTGCAAGGTTCTGAAGCTTGGGAGTGCCCATAACCCTAAATTACTTATAAAATTAAATGATGTAAGAAACCTTAGCCATACAGATTGCGAAAAGGACTTGGGGGTTTATGGTGAGCAGCAAACCTTAAACCAAGACAGCAATGGCCAAAGCGTACGTAATAAGGCAAATAGAATTTACAGGATTTTATATCAAGAAGTGTAAGCAAACAGAAAGTCCAGAGTCATACTGCAGCTTTATACATCATTTTAAAGCGCCTCAACTTGATAGCAGCTCAGTTTGTCCCGTATTACACAATGGACATAAATTCGTTAGAAAACATTCAGCGTAGATGACTAAATTAATACATAGCAATCAGAAATCTTCCGTGGAAAGAAAGATTGAAGACTCATAAGTTACATTCACTTGTTTAGACGAAAATGAGGGAGACCTGATCATAAGTGTATAAGTGAAGATAGGTATTAATAAATGGGGATATTAATAAGGTCTTGAGGATTTCTCTCCAAGAGAGACCCTCAGTAATGGATTTTAAATTTTTAAGTTTAGATTTAGAAAGGACATAGGAAAGTAATTGGTGTGGCGATAATAGGTAGTGATGAGTGGAACAGTCCTACCTAGTTGGGTTATTGAGGCTAGGACTTTGGGTTGTTTTTTCAAATCCATAGATGAATAATACATGAGTGGGAAGGGTTGGATTTGAGTGGGACATTCACATCAAGTTATTCTTGGGTAGCATTGTAAAATTGGGTTGGGTAAATGTTTTGTTTATGGATGAATTGTAAAGGACCTGCCTAGTATGGCCCAGCAGGCCTCCTGCAGTGTTCCTCCATTCTTATGTTCTTATGTTCTTTATGTAATTGTCACCATTATTGCAACGCTCTTTAACAATTCCATTGATCATCTGCCTTCCCAACAATCCCCAAAAGACGAGGGTCAATCCGATCCATAAAGGAGGTGACCAAACTGACTTGAATAACTAAACTAATATCAACTTACCACTGCTCTCTAAATCCGTTGAAAAATTAATTCCTAGCGCATCTAATCCTGACCTCGTTTTCACACAACATATTAAACCCTTGTGAGTTTGGATTAAAATAATAAAAAGCACAAATGACGCTATCATACACATGCTAGAACTAGTAATACCACACTTGAAAAGAAAGAAATCCCGCTGGGCATTTTCATTGATTTACGTAAAGCTTTCGATACAGTTCGACCATGAACTACAGTACTCCAAATTAATGCACTATGGTATCAGAGGCCACTCCTCAACTACCTGAAAGTCCTACCTTAGTAACAGCATTCCAATAGTGTATCAAATGATGCAATCTCATCCACCCAACCAATCACAGTAGGAAGTCCCACAAGGAAACGACCTTGGACCACTCTCTTTCTCACT